CTCGGATCTCAAACCCCAGCCCCCAGACTTCTCTGCCTAAAAGAAGATCCCCACTGCGCACTTGCTGCCCTCTGTGCCCAGCCCACTCATGCAAGGTACTCACTGGGCAGGACTGGCTGTTCGTTGTAGCCTGGGAAAAGAGACAGACAGAGGGTCAGGAGCTGCAGCTGGGCAAGGGGCAGCACTGGGGGAGGGCTGGTGGGGGAGAGCAGAGGGGTCAGAGAGAGCAGCGTGGGTCACCATTGACGTAGAGGCTGTCCTTGTCCAAGCTGTAGGGGCCCAGCTGGCTGATGCCTCTGGTCTTGTTGCTCACTTGGTGGTACAGGCCCACCCTGTCCAAGGCTGCAGCCGAGGGCTCCTTCCTGTAGGTGCACACGGCGTCCACCCGGGTCTCGTCCCTCTGGCTGCCTGGCCTGAAAAGCACAGGGATGTCACTGAGATCCTGTCCACTGCACATCCCACCCTCTAGACCTTGTCTTGGGGCCTCTGTGACCCTTTTAGGGTGCACTTCGTTGTCATCCTAAGGCTACCATATCAGCATGTGGAGAGATGAATATAGGATAGAGGGGAGGCTTTATGGAAAGCGGGCATAAGGGTTGTACTCCTGCATCTGTTGGCCTGACACCTACTGAATAGAACTCCCTGATCTGAGCAAGAGACCTGCACAGACACTCACACAAGACCCATACCTGAAGGCTGTTGTTTCACATCCCTGGAAATCGGGGCCAATGCTGGTGTCCTTCAGCAGGTGGTCGAGCTGCCAAGGGGAGAGGTTTTCATAGTTAAGCCCTGGAGAGCTCCCGGCACTCCCTCCAAGGTTATGAGGAGAGTGGGGGCAAAGCAATGTCCCAGTGATAATCCACTCACCAAGGTGTTCATAACACGCTGTGCAGACTTGAACCTTGCTGAGTCTGGATTCTCCAGGTCAGAATTGTAGGGGAGGTTGGTGATGGTGAAGTTGACGGTGAAACGCTCGAGGGTGGCAGCTGTCGGTGGTGGGTGGGTGGGAGCTGGAAGAAGCACAGATGGGGAGTGACAAGGGGTAAGAGCCAGGGTTTCAATGCTTTGGCTGGAGAAGCGCAGAGGTCTCCTGCCAGCCGTGCTCTCCATTCAAAAGGCTTTCATGCTCCCAGCCTCTCCCCAGGATCTCAAGCCCCAGCCCTCAGACTTCTCTGCCTAAAAGAAGATCCCCACAAGGCAGTTGCTGCCTGTTGCACCCACTCCACTCATGCAAGGTACTCACTGGGCAGGACTGGCTGTTCGTTGTAGCCTGGGAAAAGAGAGACAGACAGAGGGTCAGGAGCTGCAGCTGGGTAAGGGGCAGCACTGGGGGAGGGCTGGTGGGGGAGAGCAGAGAGGTCAGAGAGAGCAGCGTGGGTCACCGTTGACGTAGAGGCTGTCCTTGTCCAAGCTGTAGGGGCCCAGCTGGCTGATGCCTCTGGTCTTGTTGCTCACTTGGTGGTACAGGCCCACCCTGTCCAAGGCTGCAGCCAAGGGCTCCTTCCTGTAGGTGCACACGGCGTCCACCCGGGTCTCGTCCCTCTGGCTGCCTGGCCTGCAAAGCACAGGGAAGTCAGTGAGCCCGTGTCCTCTGTACGTTTTCCTCTCTAGTCTGGCCATTGCAGTTTTTGTGGCCCTTCCAGGCATCATTTTATGGCTAAAGTATCAGTATGTAGAGTGAAGAGTGTTGGA